CTGCCTGTGTTGCGATGGCAAGACGGGAAGGGAGCCTGCCATAGCCCCCCCGCTACCCCATTCAAGGTAAGCCCCTCCTGCCCCAGCCCTGACCCCCCTCCCAAGCCAGAGCCCCATCCTCCACCCCAAAGCTCCCCTCCTCAGCCCATGTACTAGTCACATTATGTTGGGTTGCAGGTGCCAACAATTATCTTCACCTGGGTCATGAGAAGAAAGGCTTGGAAACAGTTGCAGGGCCATTCTGCAGAGAACTCCTCACACAAACCGCCTCCCCTGCAAAACCTCTCCCTGCCTCACCTGGACTCAGGCTGCCCTTGTAGCCCCACCAGGCCTGGCGCCAGGTCACCTGCTTCCCTCCCCTGAACCTCTCCGTCCAGGGGCACCGTCACAGGTGAGGTGGAACCCAGGGCTCCCTTAAAGGGCCCGCTCAGCCTGTGACACTAAGGAATGAGAGTGGGGTTACTCTGTGTGTACAGTCACATTTCCTCACCCCGGTACTAGGATTCTGCCTGCCCAGGGGTGAGAGTGAGTTAGCTCAGGCACTGATGGGTTCTTCAGCTGGCAGCCTGGGCAGAGCCACTGGAGCCCCATTTCACAGGCGCACTAATAAAGAGCACGTTACACCATATTCACCCCTCCTCCCCTGCTTGCCCCTCACAGGACTCCATACAGAATGTTACACAAGATGCAAACGCTGCCTGGATCGGACTTAAAGTGACGCCTCCAGGGGGGAACTGGACCTGGGTGGACGGCTGCCCGGTAGATCCAGCCCGGTGAGTGCTGCCTGTCGCTTCCTGTCTGAGAGATGCGTGAGAAAAGCTTCTGCTGTACAATGTGTTGATGTTAAATGTCCAACATCAGTCCAAGACCTGGCCTACAGCTGCACGTTTTACTCCCGTAGCTATTTCGATTAAGGGCATTTTTATTGTCACAGCAAAGGCCCCTCATTTTTTCAGGAAAAACGGCTCTTGCACAAGAGGGGGTTTTTGCACAAAAAGGCGCCGTCTACACAGCTCCTTTCTACGCAAAAGCCTCTTGTGCAAAAGCGGCTGCTAATTAATTATGCAAACGAAGCATGGCAATATTCCACTCTGGGCTTCATTTGTATAGGCTTTTCTGGAAGAATGCTGCAGTGCAGCTGTAACCTGAGTGTCACGCCCACTGTGTGACAGGGAACTGAACCCAGCTCAGTGCCCTAACCACTGAACCTGCCTCCCTCTGAGACACATCCACGCTGGCAGGTGGCTGAAGATTGTGCAGGTAACATCTTCACTGCAGCACTTTGGGTGCATTTAGACTGGCAAGATTTTGTGCAAAAACACCTGCTTTTGTGCAAAAACTTGCCAGCTGTCTACACTGGCCGCTTGAATTTGTGCAAGAACACTGACTTTGTAATGTACAAAATCAGTGCTTCTTGTGCAAATACTTTCATGCTCCTGCTCGGGAAAAAGCCCTCTTGCACAAGAATACAGGGAAGAACTGTTTTGCGCAAAAAAGCCCCGATGGCTAAAATGGCGATCGGGGCTTTCTTGCGCAAAATCGCGTCTAGACTGGCCATGGATGCTTTTGCACAAAAGCACTTTTTGCACAAAAGCATCCGTGCCAATCTAGACACGCTTTTGCGGAAATACTTTTAACAGAAAAACTTTTCCATTAAAAGTATTTCCGCAAAATCATGCCAGTCTAGACGCAGCCCTCGGGTGTAGCCAAGCCCTTCATCTGAGCCTGTCCCATCAGAGAGGGGAGGAGAAAAGGTACCATTGATGGGCCTTTCCTTGTGACAAGGAGCCACAGTGACATGGACTTGCTCTTTCATTCTGCAGCTTCCCCGTCTCTGGCCCTGCAGACGGGAACAGCTGTGGTGGGATCAGAGGCAGCCGGATTCAGTGGGAGACGTGTGATGCTGAGTTCAAATGGATCTGCCAGAGAGACGCTGTCGTGATATAACCAGGCTGAGGATTATCCCTGGAACATGAAATACTGGTGTTCAGGGCAGGATTGTGGTGTTAGCTCTGAGCCGGGGAAGATCAGAGCTCTGGGGGGGGAGCAGGGCTGGGACTGAGGTGCCCCTTACAGTCTCAGCTTCTCCCCCTCCCCGGTCCTTCTCGCTGGCAGAGCCGTCCCACCTATAGGATGGTGCAGGGCCCATGCTTTGGGGAGCCCCGTTTCAGGGGGGCATGAGGGCTGACAGCAATGTCACCAGCTCCACTCCTGTCTGCCCTGCCACAGGGGGGACATGGGGGCTGGGAAGTGCAGCAATTCTACCAGCCCTGCTATGCTACGCCTCACTGGCTCCCAGCATTGCTTGGGACCAACAGGGGAGCGGAGTTGGGGAAAAGGATGGAATTGGGGGGAGGGAACAGAGGTAAAATGGGGGCAGAGCCTGGGGTGCCGATGGAGAGGGAGTCCAGCCCCTACACTTCTCTTGCCATGGCTCTGCTCACTGGGGGTGTAATTTACAACTGCCTTAAACTTCCTGCCTGCCTCCCACGCCCTCACCCCTACCTCTCATTGCTGGGTTTGCAGTCACAGCAGGGTAGTATCATCGTGCTCTCAAGCCCTCTAAGTGTCCTCTGGGAATGTCCAGCCCCTGCTCCCGTGCTCCCCTGCAATATTTACTACAACCAAAGGAACGGTTCTGCCTCCGAGCACTGGTCCGCTTAACCCATACATACGTGCATAGTGAAATCAGTGGTCAGTGTAACAAAGCAGAGGTTCACGTGGAGTTCTGGGGAACAAATGGCTACATACAAAATAAAATCGTAACGTGTTCTAGAGCCTGGACGTATTTAACAAGCTTGTCCCCTGTCTAACCAAGTGCTGCTCACCCGAAACCTTGGCAGCACCTTAAAGGCTGTGACCAGTGTTCCCTGTAAGCCGTGCGCATCTGCAGCCATGCAAGGGAGATTCAGATGCCACCCAGTCAATTAGTAGAGTGCCCCAGCTAGGCCTTTTTTTTCTACTGGTAGTGCACATTGGCATGTGCCTCATAACAAAATTTATTCTGCATGTGGATGGAAAAACGCCGCACACGGATGGAAAAGATTAGAGGGAACATTGGCTGTGACCTTTCTTTCAGCTGTCAGTTTGGCTCTGAGGTGAAGGATCCAGTGTGTGTCTGTACTCCAAAACAGACCAGATGAATCCTTTGTCTTTATTCCAATCCAGGAGAGTCTCCACTCCAGGTTTAGTTTCTTACTGTAGATTTTTTTCATTCAGCGCACAGTCAACCTGTGGAACTCCTTGCCAGAGGATGTGGTGAAGACTAGGACTTTAACAGGGTTCAAAAAAGAGCTAGATGGATTCATGGAGGTTAGGTCCATCAATGGCTATTAGCCAGGATGGGTAGGAATGGTATCTGTCTGTCTGGAAATGGATGACAGAAGAGGGATCACGTGATGATTATCTGGGGCATCTGGTATTGGCCACTGTCAGCAGATAGGATACTGGCCTAGTTGGACCTTTGGTCTGACCTAGTATGGCCATTCTTAAGTTCTTATTTCTGCTTCTGTGGATTTTACCATCTCTCTAACCGTCAAAGGAGGGAGTTTCTGCAACAGTCTCCCAGCAAACATCTTAGTTTGATTGATAAGAGAGTTGGACACATTTACGAGTGTGACTGTGTGAGGGGGGGATTGCTTGTGCTGGTAGGATGTGGGCTAGGCAACCCTGTTGACATACTCTTCCAGCCTACGTCTACACCGGCATGATTTTGCGCAAATACTTTTAACGCAAGAGTTTTTGCATTAAAATATTTGTGCAAGAGAGCGTCTACACTGGCATATGCCTTTGCGCAAGAGATGTGCTTTTGCGCAAAAGCATCCGTGCCAGTGTAGATGCTCTCTTGCGCAAGAAAGCCCCAGTCGCCATTTTAGCCATCAGGCTTTCTTGCGCAAGAAATTAACGTTGCCTGTCTACACTGGCCTCTTGCACAAGAACAGTTTCCTCCAGGGACCTTGGGAGTGTTTTACCTTCCTCTGCAGTGCAGTGGGCAGGCAGCTTGCTGGCATCAGCTGGGTGTATCTCCCTTCATCCGTTCTGTTACAGGCACCTGCTTTCCAGATCCGGAGCTCACTGGGTCAGACCCAGCAGACCCCAGCTTCCTGTGAACTGCAGTGTTGTGACCGAAATCAGGCACGCTTGTGCCATCCAGCCAGCAAGTCCATATGAGAGAAGCCTCAGGTCTGATACTAGATACAGAAGACTCCATTAGAGGAAACTAATGTCCAAGTATTGTCTTCTGGATTACAGCCCCAAGGAAGGGAAAACCCCACCCTTCCTAGTTTGGATAGACCAGCCTGGGACTGACCTCTCTGGCCTCCTCTGTGCTAAGAGGGGAAGTGCTGCAGTAAGCCCTGGCTCAGAACACTTCGAACTGTCCATGTGTGTACAAACAACTTCTGTCCACACGCATAGGGAAGCTGTTCCTGGCACCTACTCATTTCTGCTGTCCAGTCTCAAATCCAGGATCTTTTTGTTTAAATGGGGCACCCACATCTGCATGCAGTATTCAAGATGTGGGTGCACCAACGATTTAGACATAGACTATACAATCTTTTCTGTCTTAGTGCTTCCCTCATGAGTCCCAATGGTCTGGTAACTGGTTTGCTTGCTGCACATTGAGCAGATGTTTCCTGAGAACTACTCACAAGGATTCCAAGAGCTCTGGAGTAGTAAGAGCTATTTTATACCCCATCATTTTGTATGGCTAGTGGAGATTGCATTTTGCCATGTGCATCACTTTGCATTTCTCATCACGGCATTCCAGCTGCCCTGGCGTTGCCCAGTCACCCAGTTTCACGAGATCCCTTGGTAGCTCTTTGCAGTCAGCTATGGACTTAGCTATTTTGAATAATTTTGTATCCTCCGCAAATGTTGCCATGTTCACCCCCATCTCTAGATCACTAGTTCCCAAACTGTGAGCCACAGCCCTCTGGTGGTCTGCAATGGTACTGCAGGAGGCCCATGGGAAGTTTTAAATGTTTGCAGTGGGCCCATATTTTTCTTTCCTTATTTTTCCCCTCCTTTGCTTTTTCTTTGTTTTCTTTTTCTTTCCTTACTTTTCCTTTTTCTTTTCTTGCTTTTCTTTTCCTTCTCCCTTGGGGATCTGTGAAATTTTAATACATTAAAAAGGGGTCCATAAGCTTGAAAAAGTTGGGAACCACTGCTGTAGATCAGTGTTTCTCAGCCTTTTTAAATAAAGTTTGCCTTTTTCAAAAAATAAACCCCCCCCAAATATAAGTACCCCTCAGTGGGGCAGAGAGAAGCAGATTAAAGTTTCCTCGGCCCCTGGCCAAAACAAGGGGGGAGACCCCTTTCCCCCACTTCTTCCCATGGCTCCATCCCTGTTCCACCCAGGGTTCAGCCACAGCCCCACAGCTGGAGGAGCCTGTGCCTGCACCATGGCAGGGCATGGGAACACCTCCCCTCCTAGGTGCTGGGACTTTGCCCCACATCCCCTGCACTTGTCCGGGCGATCTGCCCGGCATGCCCCCCCGGCATGTCTGCTGGAAAGCAGGGTCTGGTGTGTGGGCCTAGGACAGGGTTGGATTACGGGGA